CCACTCCCCTTTCCCTCTCTCTAAAATTCAATAAACATATTCTTCGGTGAGGATTAATTTTTTAAAAAAATTGGCAGCTTTGGAAATCATGTGTGTTGTAGGTAAGTTACTATTTAGCATATATGTTCTAATGATATTAATGCACACTCAGAAAAACTGGTCCATTTCAAACTCTGAGCAATTCATGTTATTAAATAAAGGTAAGTATAGCTTTCAGTAATAAAAACCCAGTTAATAAGTTTTGAGGCTTGAAGTTTTATAAAACCTTTAATATAATTTAAAACAAAAGTAGCTGACTTTAGAAATCCAATTTTTGTGAGCTGATTGGTTCTCTCTCTGTGAGGGAACTATTATCTGTTTTATTCATTAGTTCTGAAATTCAGTGTTTTTTTTTTTTTGGAGGGAGGAATATATAAAGCCAGTTTTAGTAGGAACTAAAGAATTTTTATTCTTCAAAATCATATGCCTTTGAAGATAAATGTCCACCCCATTGTTGTACCTATACAAATAGATATGAATAATTTCAGGTTTATATTGTTCACTCTCATGAAAGAAAAATTTTATCTTTCACAGGATAGGGAGCTATTTTGTTGTCTCTCACAGGAAACTATTACATATTCCTAAATACTGAAATATAATTTCTTCAGGTTGTATCTTGGGTTTATGGTATTTCTTCTCTTTATAAAGAGTAATTTCTAATTGAAAAATGATTTTTGTTGGGTATTAGTATGAAGGGATAATTGTTGATTTTGTTGGATGTGCTAACAATATTGTGCTTGTGTAGCAAAACGCCCTTATTTTTTAGAGACATATCCTAAAGTATTTAGGGGTTAAGTGTCATGTTTAGTATAATTTTCCTTAAAAATCTTTAGCATAAGAATAATGAGAAAATAATGTAAAATAGAATCTATTGTTACATTTAATTAATGGGTATTTTGTGTATTCATCATATCATTGTCTATATGTTTGTAATTTCCATAATAAAGAGACTAAAACATTAACTTATTTCTTAAAAAAGTGTATGCATATAGCTATACAGCATGAAATGATCTATTGTTCAAAAAGCCTTTTTTATTTTTTCAGAAAGCCTTTTTAAAAAAATAGTTTAATACATTTTTAGCTATTAAATATCTCTAAAACTGAGACCAAAGTTTTAAAACTCAAACCAAAGTTTTAGATGATAAAGCTTGCTAAAAATAGAAATCTTGGATTCCAGCCATTAATCCTTTAAAAAAAAAAAAAATCCTCACCCAGGTATATGTTCATTGATTTCAGAGAGAGGGGAAGGTAGCGCGACAGAGAGACAGAGAGAAAGAGGGACATCAGTCAGCTGCCTCCCAAAGTGCCCGACCCACTGGAGATCCAACCCGCAACCTAGGCAGGTGCCCTGACCTGGAATAGAAACTGCAACCTTTTGGTGCATGGAACTACTCTCCAACCAACTGGGCTATCTGGCTAGGGCTATGATCTTTTAATCATAGAACATTTCTTTTTTCAAACATTTAGTGTGTTAAAACTATATGCACTTGATACTTAAATTTCCTGATTGTCTTAAATCTGACCAAAACGCAGAAATGTGTATAAATATTACAAAATGTTAATCACTGATAATTACTTTTCTTGTTTGGGGTGAGCATGGGAAGTCAGTTAACCATGTCATTGTTTGAATAAAAAGCTCTGCTTGCATTTCTCCTGACCACTGTGTGATATTTCTAACAGGGACTTAATTGTACAAAAAGGAATTCTTTCAAATTTCTTGGAAATATATATTAACATTAATTGAAATATATATTTTGTGTATATATATAATAAGATACCTATATATCCAATTTGGTATTGCCTGATAAAATCATACAGCACCCAGAAAACTAGTTTTAAAATTCTCAAGTAAAAAAGCAAAACAGTCCAAAGTATCTCGATGAAGAAGGAAGACATTTAAGTTTCTTATTTACTGTTTCTAAGCATTTAATCTAAAATCAGGAAAAGAGATGACTATTACAGGAACTGCCATTGTGTAGGTATCAAATAGCCGGAACTATTCTTCAGGTGCCATGGATGCTATTTGTTCTGTAATAAATTTCTCCGAAGTGTGATAAAATACAATAACAAATACTAATTGAACCTGTTACTAATGTTAATGATACTAAAACTGATAGCTGACATCATTTGAAAGACAGACTGAAAATCTGAGGGCAAAGAGTTAATGATGCAAACAATGCTAGTAATTAGCATGTCAGTGGTGCACAGGAAGAATCTGAGGGGAAAGTCTGGAGTGGATGAGTATGTCTTCCACATGTTGTAAGATGAGCAATGTAAACAGTTTAGTTAAGCAACATTTATTTCTCTAGCGTCCATACTATCAGGCATTGCATTATGTACTTTACCTTACTTTCCTCATTTAAGGATACAGTTACCAGGATGATGCACATCAGGGGAATTCCACAGATATAGTGCATTTTTATTTTAGCAGAAGAATTTGATGCTTTCTCTCCAGTGTGTGACAATGATGAAATCTTTGGTAGGTGTGAGGCTAAGGTACATTCACAACTGGTCAAATTTAAGGTACTGGTGTATTGATTGATAGTGGCTCTTAACGATTGGTAAGGCTTGTAGGGAGGGGTAAGCAATGAGGCTCTCTTGTTGTCCTTGACTTGCTCAACATTCTTATTCAAATTTGGGACAAAGCCAAAATCTAATTTATTGGAAATACAGAGAATTTCAATTACATTTGGAAAAAAAATAACTATTTGGCATAACAGTTAATATATTAAAAAAAACAACTAGGAGTTTTAAATGCTTTGAATCAAGCTGATGATAAAATTACTTTAAAAAGTCACCGGGGCAGCATACATATTCTCTCTGATTCTGGGAGATAATAGTCTCACTGGACTCTCAGAAAAATAATCCATGTTCATTTTATAAAATTAGGATGAGCAAAGTCCAAAAACCCTGCATCCTCACCACTCAGATTGCATCTACTGTTAGAGCTGTTGTAGCTGTCTTCCTTTCTGCTTAAATTATCTCCGTGGCTGCAGAAGTATCTATCTTTGTCCTGCGGTCCTTAGGTTCGGCTGAATGTTAAAGCCCCTCTTTAGTGGAGATTCCCAGCTTCCAGAAATTGGAATCACGGACCTTCAGAGCCAGAGGGACCATTTCATCTGCATCACCTGGACATTCCTTAGAACTATAAATTGGAATAGAGCACCCGAATGAGAATATCTGGGGGTGGGAACTAACAATGTGTTTTAACAAGCCCTCCAGGTAATTCCAGTCCACACTGAAGTTTGAGAACAACTGACCTGAGTTTAACCCTTTGATTTTTCAGATAAGGAAGCTAAGATCCATATAGGATGTCACAAATTGATTTGAGAAACTACAATGCTAGAATTCTCACACAGTGATTCCTAGGATGACGAATCATCCCTCAGGGAAATGTGTTTATTGGGGATAATTGCTAAGCAGTATTTGAAAGAATGCTAGGTGTGAACAGTGTAATAAGAAGAGCCTACCATTTAACTCACCTGGTGGGCTTCTTGCAAATCAGCAGTAGCCTTTTGATTCATTGAACTTTAGTCTAAAAGAAAAGTTTGCTTGCTCTAATATGTTTTATTCACTTGATTATTAGTGTCTTACTGCCTGAGGCAAGTTTCTGTGCCATATAAGTAGCTACTACCCCATTCCATCACTGCCGCTCTCTAATTAATCTCTGGAGAGTGACCCTGCAGCACTCGTTTTTTAACAAGCTCATCACACTTAAATTTGAGAATCACTAATAGAGAGAAGATGTTTCAAGTGGTTAAGAGTAAAACTGGTTGGACTGAAGCAGTATTTTCAAGGTCTTTTTTACTTGGGTTCCACAGTGAAGACTCAAAACAATTTGCTAATATGTTTATCATAAAGTCAGCATAATAACATCATTCGTTGCTCCCTGAATTTGTAATGGTACAGCATTGAAATGGTTTTTTTTGGGGGGGGGGAGGGATCAAGTATAACATAGTTTCCTCATCATCTGGGAAAAGGGGACGGGGGCGGGCAATCACTGCAGGAGGAACAAGAGATCACAAAAGCAAGAACATGAGTTCAAATAATAGATCATGTTCTAAACTACAGAGGTAGCCAACTTTGACTATGGCAGTACAGATAAGGTCACGGACTTGTACCTCAGCGGTTGTCAGGGATTTTAGCTTTTTAAGATTACATTGCGTGGAATAGTCAGATTTAGGAAAAAGATACATTTGGGGAATAAGGACACAACTGCGAGATCAAAATGCTCTACCTTGAATTTTTGTAGCATTAACGTCTTTGAAGGTGCCCTCACATAAACTTTTATTTTCTCCATGTAACAGCACTGTGAGGAAGGAAATTAGTACCAGCAAACCGTTTCAGAAACTTTACTCAATCACGAAGGAAAAAGACAGCGAAGTCGATATAATCAGAGAAATGACAGAAAAGGTTGTCAGTGAGGAAGCGAGGCAGACACGAAACGCTGAGATCCAGGGGACGGACAAAATAGCTTTAACGGGCTAGTAAATGCAAAAAAAGCCGGGGTGCAGGAAATTTGGGATTAGGAAACGGGAATGTACTTATGAGTCCCAGAGAGGATGGATGAGGTCAAAGATGAAGAGGAAAATGAAAAGTAATGCGGCACTTAAAGCTGCATGGAAGTTTTGTGAGCTGACATGTCCCTCAGGCCAATGACCGCGGCAAGGCGTTGGACCCCAGGCTGAGGATCACGCGGAGGGCGCCGGCGGGAAGACGGCGGGGCCCGGCGCAGCCCTCACGCCGGACTAACAAAGGCCGCCGCGGGGATCTCCCCCCACACGCAACCTGCGGGGGCCTAAGGGTTAACCGCGCGCCCAGCTCCCGCGCGCATCCCGGCCCCCACTCCGGCCGTCGCTAGGAGACGCCGGAAGTGGGGGAGGGGTGAGCGGTGGGGCGGAGGGTGGGAATCTTTTTCCAGAGCCCAGGGCGGAGGGAGGGGAGCGCGCGTGCGCGCGCCCGGCCAGCTGTCGCCGCGGCGACTGTCCTCGGAGTCCGCCGGCTCGCGCCCCGCCCCCGTCCCTGCTGACCCCTCCCCTGTCGCGCGGGGGGTGCTGCTCGCTCCTCCCGAGTTGCGGCCGCCGCGGCCGCTGCGCCTCCTCGCGCAGGCTCGGGCTTCCCTGGCGCCGCGGCCGCCGCTGCCTCTGCGGTCTGCATGAGGAGGAGGAGGAGGAGGAGGATGTGAAGATGGCGGAGCTGCAGATGCTGCTGGAGGAGGAAATCCCGGGGGGCCGCCGGGCCCTCTTCGACAGCTACACAAATCTGGAACGGGTGGCCGATTACTGCGAGAACAACTACATCCAGGTGAGACGCGTCCCCCGGCCCGGGCGCGCGGGGCCGCGGGGCGGCGGGCGGCGCGGGGGACCCCCCGCCGCGGGCCGGGGGCGCGGGGCGCGCGGGCCGAGGCCCGGGCGGAGGCGGCTCTGCGGGGCCCGCCGTTGGGGGTGGGGCGGGGTGGGAGTTGGGGCCGGAGAATGGATGCGAATCCGCCGGGGGGAGGAATTCGTAGCTCTCCAACATTTTTAAAAGCCGTGAATCAGGCGGTGTGTGGTGTCCCCGCCTCTTCGCTTCTCCTGCCCTCGGCCGCCCCCGCTCCCGGTGCCAGTCAGTGTTCGGGATGGCGGAGGAGGCGGCCAGTGGCATTTTCTAGTTGACAGAATCAGGCTCCCCCTGTGTGGCGGGGGGGGGGGGGGGAGGCGTGGGTCGCCCCCTTCCCCCAGCTCTGGGGGATTTTTTTTTTTGAGGGACTGTGTTGCTGCAAAGTGAGGTGCCTCAGTTCCTATTCATGTGACTCTCTCAAGAGGCTGTTGTTTGAGTGTGGGTTTTTTGTTGTTGTTATTTTGTTTTTGTTTTTTGGCTTGTGTTTTTAGACTCACCGGGGACACAGTAAAAGAGCAGTTGTCTCTTTTTGGAAGTTACTGCTGTTTTCCTCTCTATGGAGGATGAAAAGCTGCATGAGAATAAGCTTTCCCCGCTCCCATCCCGTTAGAATAAATGATTTATTTTCCTGTGGGAAGAACAGTTATGACTGTTTTTCAGAGGGCATTGGGAAATGATCCTCACGGTTTAATTTTTCCCGTGATGGTTGGTTTGGCACAGGGACTCGAATGGTAGCGTGTGTGTGTGTGTGTGTGTGTGTGTGTGTGTGTGTGTAGGGAGGCTGGGGATATTGGATGAGATGAGATTCTGCTGCGCTTGGGTGAAGCAAAAGATTCTGAGGGATAATAAAAGAAAACCCCTTCTTTAAAAAATTATTTGGAAGAATAAGTTAAAATGCACATTTTGCAAATTCAGCATCTTTTGTTTTCTTTATGGCTGCTTCTGAATTTCAGGTTCTACCTCCATTTTTTTCCTTCTCATTTTGAACTCTCATTTGAATCCTCTTGGGATAAAGATGGGCATGGAAGAAGTATGTTAAATTGTTCCTACACTATGGTCTTTTCCTCCCTGCTCCCATATCCATCTCTCCAGGCACCCTTCTCAACATCAGGTATAGGGAAGCATCTTCAAGTCTTAGTTTAAAGTAAAAAAACCAGGGGAAGTATTAAAATGTGTAGGTTCATAAATTTTGTAAGGACCACATGGTTAATCATGGATTGGTAATGTGATATTTTACTTGATTAGATAATACTAAACTCTGTATTATCTTGTAGGGAATATTTGTATTGAAAAATGGACCAGGCATAATCCAAGGCTTTTTCTCCAAAGAGGCAATTGAAAGTATATGGCCAGTAGGAAAAGACTGTCTTAGGTCAAAGATTTCATGTGAAAATACAGTTGTTTATATTTGAAGGGTGCTTTTCTCTTTATAAAATTTTTTTTTATTGATTTTAGAGAGAGGGAGGGAGGGAAAAGGAGAGGGAGGGAAAAGGAGAGGGAGGGAGGGGAAGGGAGGAGGAAAGAGAAATACCGATTTGTTGTTTCATATACCTATGTTTTCATTGGTTGATTCTTATATTTGCTCTGACGGATCCTGCAACCTTGGAGTAGGGGATGTCTAACCAGCTGAGCATCCGGCCAGGGCTGTAGGGTGCTTTTCTGACGCTGAGTGGGTTATGAGTGATTGAAAGGTTCAGCTGCTCAATTTTACACTAAATATATTCAAAAGTCTTCTGTAGCCTATGTCCTCACACTGAGTCAAGATTTAATGATATGCACCCAGTGTCTACAGAATTTCATAGTGCAGTTACTACAAGTTGCTCTGAGAGCAAATGATAACATAGCGTGTCAATTTATACTCTTTAATGGACTTCAGGTGGGAAGGACGGGAAGGAGCTGCGCTATCTCAGGGAATTCACATTCTCTAGGATAGTCAACTAAGGGCTGAAGTAGTAATTCTATTGCCTTGTGCAATGTATTACTAGTGGAAAGAGTTAAAGGCCAGAGGAGAAATTGATGGTGAACAAGTGATTGTGTTGCACTTACTACCAGTGAGTAAAGAAAACAAACAGATTTGTCTCTCTTTGGAAGTTAATTTTTATTGTTATTTCAAGGTATAGTACCCTTTAGATTATAATTGTTACATAAAGGTAAAAGTACATGGATTCATAAAGCTGAGAGGTTAAAGGAATCAGTGATTGTCTTTTCATATGTACATTACCTGTCTTAGCAGTGGGACTCAAAATTTAGTGGTGGTGTTTTGAAATTCAAAGAATAAATATTGATAGAAATGGATTTGGATTTTGAAATATCTCTTCACTTTAGCAACTAAAACAGATTGTACATTTTTACCTTAGATTATCATCAATTTTAGGATCCACTGGGTATATTTTTGGTGTTCTCTTCCCAGATGACAGCTCTTAGATGAGTTGTCTGTAGTAAAGTCGATAAATAGAACACGGAGATAGTGATTTGTGCTGACCTAGCTGCACATTCCGCTGGCTTTCCTTGTAATCCAGAGAATTGACCAGCAGGGGTGTTGATGCTGCCTCTGACCCTGCAATAGATGAAAATTAATTGGTGGGATCAGTGACCAAATGGTCAATTTAGTCTTATTATAGTATCATGCGCTAAGCACTAGCTCAAGTTAACTAACCTGACATTCAATTTTATTGTGTGGAAATGTAAAAAAAGGACAGATCTGTTGATCATATGTAACAAAAGGCAAGGTATTTCCCCCCCCCCTCAGTGTTCTTAAATAGCTGGTTTTATGCATAGGAGTATCCAAAAATTTAAGATGAATAAGAATATTCTAAATGTGGATTATAGTGTGTGAAATTGCAAGGGAGGGAAAATGATTGTGCTGTTCTTCTGAAAGCAGTTGTACTCTTTAAATTGTTTCTATGTTATAAAACTATCCTTCAGATACTAATGTTAGAAGTGATCAGATATTGCCTGTATGAACACAAATGAAGTCTACAGGTAGAGCAGAGCAGGGTTGTAAGTAGTAGTTTTCCATGTTACTAATGTAGTGAAACAGTAGAGATTTTAAAATAATCTGTAATAAAATTTTAGATGATTTTTATTTTATTACTTCGACCTCTAGAAATTTTCTTCCAAAAGTATGATGATAGAAAGTTATAACTGAAATTTGCTGATATTTACAATTGTTCATTATTTGGATATAGAACAAAATTGTCCAATAAAATAGATTTGCTCAGAATGGAAATTACGAATTTATCTTAATATTTTATTTGAATTACTTCTCTCGCTTTTAAATAATAGCAGAGCTATCGTTAAAAGCTCTTTTTCATCAACAAGGATACTCCACAATTCATTAAAAATTGCATGAAAGGTTTATAAGGAGATAATAGAATCATGGCTTGTTCCCAGCCAGTTGCATAGAACAGTACTTACTAAAAGATGTAGATACTGAAAACTCTTATTTAATATGTCATAGAATACACGCCCATTGTTGAAAAATTATTAGAAAATACAAATAGATTTCTTTAATATGAAGAAACTTAAAATTGTCTAATTATTTTGAATATATATCTAGTATTTCTACTTTGAATTTTTTTTTTTTTACAAAAATGGGTTCATATTCTGCAGTACCTCTATACCATCCGTTAAAAAGAAACTTTTAATGTTTCTACGCTTGACTTTGTTGTTTTGGGTGTCGTAGAGTATACAGAAAGGAGGTTTGTGTTGATGTGTTTGAGTTCTGACCTCACAAGTAGAGGAATTTTACAAGTACCTAGAATGACAAAGGAGAGAGAGAATGTCATTTGAGAGTAGAAATTTGAGGTTCTTCCCTGTGATTTTTGTCTACTTCCACAGACAAGAGTAAATCACATATGTGGACATCAGGCTGAATTAGGGAAACTGAATTTCCATAGATTGAGGTGATTTAACCAGGATTTGATAAACATTTATCATCTTTAATGAAGCTAATCCTGACTTCCCAGCAGAGGCATTAGGTGTTTGGATTTTCAGTGAAAAAGACAAACCAGCCAATATCAAGAACTCTGAGAGGATTGGAAAACCACACTAAATTACATTCTGCGCTACTCTTTTTATAATGTAAATTTTTAAATTTAATTTTTAAAATAATTTTTGTAATTTTGTCGTTTGTGCACTTTATACACCGTCTCTAAGATACTTAACTGGCCTCTTAATTCCCTTTATTGATCCAAGGACTTAAGCTGCACTTCATTTTTTGCCCTACTTTGAAAAACTTGTATCGAAATTGCCCTTTAGTCAAACAGATCATAAACTCTTTCTTTGCTTTGTTTCCTTACCTTGGTATGATTGTGAGATAGGTTTCTTTTATTCAGGGTTGCCTTTTTTCTCCCAAAGAATAGTTTATAACAAAATTGGCTTTTAAAAAAATGTATACTTTATTGATTATGCTATTACAGTTGTACCATCCCCCCCACTTTTTTCCACTCAAACCCCCCTCCCACCAGCATTCCCTCCCCTCTGCCCCTGCCCCACCCCGGTCTTAGTTCATGTCCATGGGTCGTACATACACGTTTTTTGGCTTCTCCATTTTCGATACTATTCCTAACATCCCCCTGTCTATTTTGTACCTTATGTTTCTGCTTCTTATTCCCTGTACCTTTGCCCTCATTCTTTCCCCCTCCCCTCCCCTCGGATCTCCATTTCTGTGATTCTGTTCCTGTTCTAGTTGTTTGCTTAGTTTGTTTGTTTGTTTGTTTGTTTTTAAGGTTTAGTTGATAGTTGTGAGTTTGTTGTCATTTTACTATTCATAGTTTTACATCTTTTTCTTACATAAGTCTTTTTGACATGTTATATAATAAGGGCTTGGTGATGATGAACTCCTTTAACTTGACCTTATCTGGGAAGCATGTTATCTACCCTTCCTCTAAATGATAGCTTTGCTGGATAGATTAATTTTGGAT